GTCGCTAGACTGCGCCACCGTCGCCTGTTGCAACCCGTTCCCGCAACGGGAGATCGTTCCCGACGTCGCCCGCTGTCCCTTTCATCCTCCCACGATGCGCTCGCCACCACAGTTTGCTTGTGCGACGCCATACCGTTGCTTGACACGACTCCATTCTGGCCCAAGCCTTGTTGCTAGGTCGCTCCACTGGTGCATGTTGCAGCCCACACCCGCGTTGGAATGGCGTTCCCGACGTCCTTTGCTGCCGTGTCATCCTCCGACGTTGTTCTCACAACCGCAATTTGCCTCTGCGACGCCTTACACGACTCCCTTCCAACCCCAGCCTGGTCGCCATGACGGGCCACATGCGTCTGTGGTGGACAGTGTTCGAGTAGGCCTCGCGCTACGGACGGCGTAGTGTGGTACGGTCGGTGGCTGTCGGTGATTGCTCCATGGTCACTGTACTTTTCCCATCACCCATTGTCATCCACGCAGATTGACCATTAATACTGCCACTAGAATTAGGTATCATATCTTTCTTTTTTGCTAACATCTACCGTTTGTTTTTAGAAAATTATATTCGGTACAACACAATTTTGCCGCTAACATTTTCAATCACAGACTGTCGACACAATAATTTTCAAAAGATATTTCAGACTTTGCCATTTGTTTTTGGCTTCTACATTTTTCATAATATGATTGCCGTTCTCTAATATTATTTCCGTATCCTCAATAACTCTGATATTGCCTTTCACTTCTTTTTTTCACTTTTCTTCCAGTCAAATTTTCTTTCTTCCCATTCAGGTTCATTGACCGATTCATTGATGTTCCAGTCCCGTTAACTGTTATGGATATTAGTCCCATTACTATAGTGAATATTATATACCGACAGCAGGCGATCTTCTTAGCCCGCTGGATGGTGAGATCTGTCACCGTCATACACGCCTTCCTGAATATTTACTTCTCCGGATATCGCTCCCTCGCGAAGCACCCCCCCCCAGCAAGACAAGCTCTTGCCTTCCGACCTGTCTCCCGTCATTTGTGTTGGTGTAGTGCATGTGATTGTGAATGCGTAAGAGGAAGGATAGATTGCGCGCGGTTTGTGGCCCGTTTGCTACGGCACTGTCGGAATTTGCCTGGTATTAGTCTGAGAAACCACGGAAAACTACCTATTAGAATAGGCAGTCGTCAGAATTCTCCTCCAGACAGTAGTAAATTCAACCTAGCTATGACAAGTTGGAAATCCGATACGGTCGAGACTCGAAACCTAGGGCCCCCCGGTCAAGTCACTGCGGAAACAAGGGCAAGGCTGGTAATCTGGCTGGGCAACGCTGTTAATCTCAGCTGGTGGTACAGGTTCGCTCTCTTGCGTTCTTTCCTTCTCCTCTCCCCTTCGTGGCCCTGCGCGCCCGCCGGCCACCGGCCATCGCTCTTGCTCAGACGCCTTGCACCGATCGCCCACACCGCCCCCGCATTCCCTCCACTCAGTTTTTTTCACTGTTCATTTAGTGAATGAGGATTCACGAACTTCAGAGGAATTTTTGTTTTCGAAAAACATTTCTCGTGCTCTTTTAAGGAAAATCGTAAACGAATAGGCAAATGAATTAGCACATTGTAGGGTGTGTTACCAAGTAAATTATTCTGTATTAAAATATCTGTTATACCAAATCATTTGTCATTTTATTTTGCATATATTGATGAAAAGTTAGGTTGATGATAACAAGAGTTTTAAATATTTATCACATACTTCTTCCGTTTTTTACACTCTTCCTGTTGAATCACGTGGAACTGATATGTTAGAATGCTTTTTGTAACAGGACGGTGCCACTTGGCTAGAAAAGAACTCAATGTGAGAAATATAAAATTAAATTTTAGAAAGATAATTGAATGTCACAGAATATTATTAACAATAAAAGCACAGATCACTGCGAAAGGCAGTCTCAATTATGTTTTAATTTATTTATGGAAATTACAAACAGATGCCTGTGCCGTGATGTCGTTAAGAAAGACTTTTTCTCGGAAGAAAAAATGGAGGAAGCGAAGTAATACGCAGGAAAACAATTAATCGTTGTCTTGGTACTTTCTTTCGTCTCTCGTGGGCCCTTATTCTTTGAAGATACTCTTTTAAATCGCCTATTTTCGATCTGTGGCCAAGTAAGTACATTAACCTGTTTACAATTTAGAAGATCATAAAAACACCGTAATGGTAAGTGGTTGCCTCTTTCTGTGATGTTACACCAGTATAAAATTAAAATTCATGCTTCTAGTAGACGCGGGCTAAAATACATTCCTTTAATGAGCAGATGAGTGGCTTAAACGGGCGGTCTTCCCAGATACAGTCGTTAAGCCATTTTAAATTCAAAACACCTTGCTAGGTAGTTATTCAAGAAGTGGTTTCGTTAGAAGCTATTAATATTGCAACATACTGAGTCGATTTTTCAACTTGGAAGAAAGCAAGTTTACTGCTTCCCACAGCCGTGAAATTCATCCGTTTTCCATTATTGTTATTATGATGATAAGTTATTCACCACATTTTTGTTCACTTGCGTAAATTAAAGTAATTTAATTCTGTGTAATTCAAACTGTGTTAAATGAGATATTCAATCACCATTTATTTCTGAACAATGAAATCTTCAGCATTTTAAGTCATAAAGGTAAATAAATTATATTGAAATTTTTCACAAAATATAGAAGTTTTCGTTGCTGGTGAATAAAATGTAGTATGGTATTTTGCAAATTTAATTAATCATCCTTTATACGTACAAGTTTTCAAAGTACTCTTGTAAAAAATATAATTGTGTATTTAGTTATTTGGTTAGTGGCATAGGTCTCACGATCATAGATTTTCAAACGTGTATGCAGATCTTAACCCATAGTTACCGCAGTTCCCAATTTGTCGGTTTCGAGAATCTGCTGACGTTGGTAATCCTGGCCGCAAGGCAGAGCATTGATTTTCGCGAATAGCAGGGTCGCATAATGTATTAATGGAATTCCTATTCCATCTGCTAGAAGTCGTTGGAGTGTCGACATTCGATTCTCAGCCAAGAGGCTAGATTGCGCTTTGGCACTCCGCATCAGGTCTCCGTAAAGGTCGCTCTCCTTGACGCTAAAGGGGGAGGAACGGAGCTTGTCCCAGGTACGGGATTTCATATTTCGTGGAACAACCACATTCTCGGAAGCGAAGCGACACTAAATGACAATCTGCTTGCTTCCATGTTCTGTGTGCAATTAGATACTGATTACACCGAGGTTACAATTGATGACTGAATGACTGAGCTACTGATCAAGTATCGGGTTCGATATGGGATATATTTTTTTGTGAAACATCTAAAAAATAAGTCTTTTCAGCTTATTGTTTTAAATTTAATGTTTTTTAGATAATTATATATTGAGGGATATCTACATCTAAATATATTTTGTGAGGAGACTTTGGAGAAACTTTTGTTATATCGAATTCACATCTTGAGCACAAGAATGCATGTTTATTTAATTTATCTTCCCCGTCTCTCTCTATTTCTTTCTCTCTCTCAGTGTCTCTCGCTCTCTCTCTCTCTCTCTCTCTCTCACTCACACACACATCATTTTTTGTTCTCACTTGTCCCTTTTTATGTTATCCCATTCTCACCTTTGAAATTTGCCCTTCTTTTACATCTATACTTTCCCTATCCTTCTTTCGCAGCTGGCCTCATGAAATACGATAAGTTGATCTGCGTATTTAGACATGGATGTTATTAGTTTCCATGCACCACCCGCATTTGTTGACTTATTCAGCTCTCACTAGTTGCCAAAGAAAGCGCTCGTAAGCTTTGAATCGCAGCAAACAGATTGGACGTGGCGGAGTCCGGAGAATGACAGACGGATGCGGCTTCGTCCGGCGCTACTCAGCGAGGGAGCAGCCTGCTACGGCGGGGGCGGGGCAGGCCGGAGACGGATGTGGGGCGCTGGACGAAAACGAGGAAAGGGTGGCCGGAACGCGGGGCGAGGGCCCAGGGGGTGGGGTAACAAAGGAGCAAGGACGCTATTGGCATCGCAGCAGGGAGCGCGACGCGGTGGAAGAGAGGCTGAGTAGGAGCGAGGGGGAGGGCAGAAGGAAGTGGAACAGTCGGGCGGAGGGGGCTCGCTGCTTTCCAAACTTTGCCCGACACCGCGGGGAGCGCCAGGGGAGGGTGAGGCACTGCGAGGATGGGGCGGGGCGGGGAGGGGCAACACATAAGCCGCGGGCGGGCGCCCCCGGGCGGCAACCGCGAAATGGAGAAGTCGCGCAGGAGGGCGCCTTTTAAGCTGCCTCCCCCTGCGCGCCGCTGTCACTTCGCGGCTAAGTTGCTGCCGGTGCAACACGTTCTGACGACCGTTGAGTAGTTTCGGAACCGTCATCAGTTTACCCATGAGATAGAGACACATTGGAATGTACACAAGAAATGCGAGTTTATGTTTTCGTTTGAAAACTGAATCATTGCGATAGGAAACATGTAATGATGTTGAGACTTAATTATGAACCACACGACAATTATTGTGTAAAAAATCAGAAATTATCATGTTAAACTTCATGTACAGACGTTGAAAAAGATGACTATTATGTCGGCTCCGGCTCTCGTCATCGAATGGGGGACGATCACCGCCACTTCCAACAAAAGTGTACTACACTTACGGGACTATGTGTCCTTAGTAGTTGATGCACCCTGTAATATTCAATCACTCAAATCCAAACGTCCGAACATTCGTCCAACATTTGTGAACAACACTAGTGACGGAAGCGTATAGAGGATTTTTTCCAAACAAAATCTTCCAAACAATCCTTAATCAATCTGCCTGATTCAAAAAGGATTTTCAATTTTTTGAGATACTTTGAGCCATAGGAGGTTTCAGCTAATCAGAGAGGTGACAAGTTTACACTTTGTGTTTGTTTACACTTTGCTGGTAAAAAATTACTTGGCCAATAAACTGAACATTGTACTGTTGTTGCAAAGCAAAATTCAATAAAATAACAAACTGACGCGCGCGTGGCCATTGCTGTGCGGCAGGATGGCGATGTCCCCTGCGGAGCGGCTGCTGGTGCTGGCGGCGGTTTGGGTGGCGCTAGCGGCGCGTGCGGCGTGGGCGGTGCCGCGCCCCGGGGGCGACGACGCCTCCGCCTCCGACCCGGCGCCGGGCGTCGTGGGCGCCAAGAAGTTCGCGACGGCCGTCGACTGCAACGGGGCCGTCGCCTTCTCCAGCAAGGGCGCGGCCCGGGCGGCTGGCGCCGGCGCCGCCGGCCAGCTGCACTTCGCCGCCGACCTCACCGACAAGAGCGTGGGCTGGAGCCGCGACGCCGGCGAGTTCACCACGTTCTGCCCCGGGCTGTACCAGTTTGCCTTTTCCAGCGGCGGCGCCGCCAACGCGAGGTGAGCACGCACCAAACTAAGAAAAATCTAAATAAATATTTTTTTAATTGTCCGCATCGTCCTTAAATACAATTTCTTGTGGCCATTTGGCCGTAGACTAGGCGGGCATGGAAAAAGGATACTGTGCAATTTCTTGTATTTACAAGATATTTGTGTATTTTATTAGCCCAAAATTATAAATTATTTCAAAACACTTTTGTTATTAAACAAGATCCCTCCAATGTTTTACACTTTAGTACTACTATTGTTTACTCCTGATAAATATTGAAATGTAACAATTGTGCATTAAACTTGTTTAGCATCACAAACTTCTGAAATACCGTAATTTAGACTTTTTGTGTACATCATGAAATTTTACAGTATAATGTTTCCATGAACACGTAATGTATGGCCAAATACCCTCAAGAAAGTAAATAAGTATGTATGTACGGGCTTGGAATTTTAGGGTCTGATTAAGCCATTGATCAAGGAAACCATTTATTAGATTAGTCGGGCTATGAGGTCAATTCAGCCAGGCGCGACAAAATCACCTATTTTAAACCCCGAACAAATCTACGTCTTCTGCCGTGGGGCGAACCTGCGACCTCCCAATCCCCGCACGAATCTTCCGATGTTGGCAACTATGATGACTCGTTTAAGTAAAATTGTAAAATAGGTCATCACTCTAGTAATATGTTCTTTCCCTACAGCATTCAGCATTGTGGTGATAGGTCGGCCCCGTAACTAGGGTTCGCTACTACTGAAAAAGTTATTTTACACGTATAACAATTGAACACCAAATTTTGAATTTGCAATATATCCACCAAAGACGGTGACTTAAATTTTCAAGTGTGCAGTTAATATTTGATTTAATACAAAGTACGTTTTCTTCTACATGATTATCAATGTCTCGAAAATTATTTTAGTTATAATTTACAGTAATTTGTAAAGTATTCACTACAATCATTTTTTGAAACTGAGCACATTTGAATCACAATGCATATCGAAACAACTTCATAAATATACTGAGCCTTTTATACTATTTCACATTTTTAAAACGAAGTCCACTTCTGTACGAGATATTCCAATCAATGAGTCGAAATCTCAGATAAACGCTTGTAATTATCCGGTGGTCTCCAACCAGTAAAGCATCTTCGAAAGAGAATACACTGCAGACATTGTTTCATCAAGGGAAAGAAGGTATCCTAATATTACTGTTCAAATATTTAATTAAAAATCTCGTTATAAATTTCTTTTTCCTCGTATTTTAGCTATCGCAATGCCCGCCAGAAAGAACGAACAAATAATTCCTTCGTTTGCTCAACCCCGTGGGGAAGGGAATGCAACACGATCCGAAGTGGTGGCAAAGCGAACATCTAGACCCTAAGCGCCAGATCCGCCATTGAGAAAAATGAGCCACGGGGATAATGAGATCAAAATGGTAACTGGCGTAATGTATCGCGACGCGCGACATTTATAAAGGACGAAGGAACGTCCTGCAATTACAAAATAAATCGAAGTTTTCCAATTAACGCTAAACTTAATACGAATTGGAATATATTGTATGTTCACATCACAAATGCGTCAATCGAAATTTGACCGAGCCCAATAATTGACAATATATTATTATTATTATTATTATTATTATTATTATTACGTGTGAATCTAAAGAATATGAAGAGATGTTGAGTGAGAAAGTGTTGAAGCAGCCGACAGCAATTATCTTTTGAGCAAATAGTTTCATTTTGAACAGTGAAAAATGTCTTCTTGGTATTTTAAGAGGGAAATAATTAGTCGGGAATTCGTACAATACAAATTGTCTTTGTAACAAACAGGTCGCGTTATTTTATTATTGATCAATTTAAAAGTTATCGGAGATCAAACGTAGACATTAAAATTCAATAATACTAGACCTGATGCACCAGGTTTTTTGACACAAGGTATTTAGGGTGCCCCCAATGTACCTAAACCCTACGAGTCCTAAACTCTCCTAAAACTACTTGTTCACTGTTTTCTCCACTAATCGCGAATTTCTTCTTTATTATGGAGTGTCTCATCTTTATTAGACCGGCTTAGGTAGCATTTATTGCTTAGAGTAGCAATTAATGTCACTGCAGTGCCTCTGACCGGGAGACCCCACTGTTGAAGTCCCGATGGTGGCAGGATTTTCGACATGAGATACATATCTCGGTCGAATTCAGCTGCTGCCTCGAGAAGAATTCTAGCAGCCGGCTCTTGTGATCGGTAATTCAACATCAAGTGAATGCCGGAGAAACACCTTTCCAGACGGGCCTCTACCGCATAGGATATTGCCTTGTCTCAGCCTCACTTCTTTCTTATACACAAATACCCTTGAATCGTACACTACCACGCATGCCGGGAGGCTAATTGGGAGCTTAGAGCTTATCCCAGCTGGGACAGTGCTTTGCTGATGAAAGGTATCTGGTTGGAGAAAACCTATATGCTGCCGTTAAGGTCGGCACCGGATCTAGCCATTCAGTCAGGGAAGATCACTGCCGTTACTGCCCGCGATAACAAGTACTACACTTACGGGACTAATGGCCTCTGCTCCCGGAAACTAATCAATCTTATGACCGCCCCTGTTACGGGGAGTGGGAGCAATGGCAAATTGAATGGCGCGTTGTGTGCGCAGGCTGGCGCTGAAGAAGAAGGCTTCGGGCGGCGCGGCGTGGGAGGCCGTGGTGTCAACGGGCGCCGGCGGGGCCAACGTGGTGCTCCTCAACATGGACGTCGGGGACTCAACCGCCGTCTTCTTGGAGGACGGCACCCTGGACGACGCCGCCGCCACGTCTGCCACTTTTAGCGGCTTCCGCGTCGCCAAGAAGACGCCGTAGTCTTCCTCGCCGCCCCCCCCCCTTCACGCCAGCCTGCGCCGCCCCGCCCCGCCTCCGGGCGCCGATTCTTTCCCCAACCCTTTCGTCTCGAACTCCACCGCGTCTCCCCACTATGTGCTATTCTTTTACTACCGTTTATTAAATTTTTTACATTTTCTATCACTCGATTATGCCATATTAGTACATATATTTTCAATAAAAAAAATTAAAGAAATATTTTACTACAAAGCACCTATTGTCTTACATACCACTATTTGAGTATCACACGCGGTCCGCGTTTCGTCGAATTTAACTGTGATAATAATCTTGATGTTTACCTTCCTTTTACTATCGACGTTTCTTGCCAAAATTGCGTGGACTCCCATTGCTTCTAGTCGGGCAGTGTAGGCGACGGTCGCCCCTCAGCCATCTGGCGAGCGAAGTAACCCAGCGAGCATGCGTTCCCGCTTGACGTGTCTGGAATGCCAGCGACGGTATCTTCACCAACGATATTCTTTGAAGTTTCTAATGCGTAACCAATCAAGTTCAAAATATAATCAGATTATTGGCTATGGAGCCCCAACAATTATATTACTGCACACGAGTCCTCTCTTGAGATTTGCCACTAATGAATGATAAAAGCAACAAATCAATGTATTCTTACCAACGTATTGGATGACATTGTTCTTCCGAAGTTCAAAGCATTTCGTGTATATAGTTGGCGTATAAACTTCTCGAGAAATACAGTTAGTAGCTCACTTGCCGCCATTGGCCTCAAGTGCGCCTAAGCGCAGAGCACACTCCTCGCCTCGGCCGCTGACATTCCAAACGCGTCGCCCTCCAGCCACCCGCTTCAAGGTTCTTAGGCCTCTCTTGATGTTCTTCAACTTCCGAATGCTATCGACTTCTCCTAAGCCTGTTGTGATGTCTACACGTGACACCTGGAGAATGTGTGTGCGCTGTGGTGACTTTGATGTACTATATCGAGAAGATATGGTTTTTTTACGATCTGGAAAAGACCTATGTAAATGTACTCGTAGTTCTCTCATTTAGATATTTCTATTCTTTTAAACTTGATCCTTCTGTGTTTACTATTTTCTTTGAAAGTACAAAAGATTCTTTTGACTTGAAAAGTAATTGTATATTATGAATTTCTAATAGTTTTGAAACTCTTGAAATTGCTATAATAAAGTTATCTGAATGACTTCTAGAAACAAACTAACAGAGCTTTTCTCGTAGTTTTGTTGGCCTTCCCCTTTCCTATTTTATTTTCCCAGTTTCTAACTTGTACAAATAATAATGTAGTGTGTATTAATAACGGGAAATTTCTGTGATGTGAATCTTCAAGTCTATTTGATGTACCTGAGTAATACGGAATCTATTTTCTGTCTGGGTATATGCATCTTGCACTTCCTAGTGGGTGAAAGGTGTTAATTTTGCACCATTCAAAACATGGCACTAATTAATATTTTACTTGCACGTTGCTAAAAATTATGAAGTGTACAAATTGTATTTCCTAAACGAATGATTCTCTCTGCATTATGGTTATATGTATTTAAAAGATCTGGAAGATCTACAACGAACTTAATTGCATGGATTGGAGAAAGACTGCTATAGCCAATTGTGTTCAATTAACGACGCTTTTGTGTGGCATGCTCAATTCTTTGCACAATAATTTGAAAAAGTGTTTGAATTACATATTTGGCTTTTGAAAATACAATTAACAGTTTAATTTCAATCTAAACCAATACTTAATTACCGCTCAAGAACAAATTTTCTGCAATGATTTATTGAAGGTATTAAAAAGGCAATGATGGAGAGGGAATAATAAATGTAAAATGAAATCCCAGACCCGTGTAGCTTTCAATTACAAAAATAACAGCACCAGCCGAAATGATCACACCCCATCCAGCGAGATTGGTATCCTCTGAGCTTCAAAGAACAGAAGGCCAGTGACTTCGTTATCAACATTCATCGTCTTCTGTTTCTACTGTGTAAAGAAGTCAGGCGAAATGCCTGAATCTTCAGGTAATTAGTTACACATATCACACAACAGTAGTCATAAACTTAATTCAGGATGTATTTGTATTATTTTCCTGTAGTCTGTACATTTTGAACTTATATGACATTGACATCAATGTCTTCAACTTCACGAATTTTAGAAGTCGTCTTTACTCAACGGTTCACTTTAAGTAAAATTTTAGTTCGTTTCGTAGTTGACGTGTTTTATTAATGATTATGTGATAAAAATAATCGGGTATTAAATGTCAGTAATTTTTAATGTTTGCACACGGGTTTCCACGTTTGATTTCAATGCCAAAAATTACATAGTAAAACGCGCCTCAATAATCGGTAAAATCACTACACCTTATGATTGTTTTATGTTTTGCAGATGGAACTACTTCAAGAGAAATCAGATGTGAATCGTTGCAAACTAGAAAATTGTGCTGCTTCCACGAAACTGCCTGAACTTAAGACACATCTGTAGAAGCACATTGATAACTAGATTATAAAATAGGGGAGAGGGAGACTTTTACAACAAAGATTGAAGTTACCAGAATGACTTTCTTTACTGTGTTGATTTATTTCCATTCTCACGGAGTGTATTCTGACAATGCGGAATGAGAATCTTAATTGGAAATACTTTTAAGAATATTTTTATCTAATAGGACGTGCCCAAACAATGAATTGTGTGTTCTAATTTTAGAAATAAGACTATATATCTCAACGATTGTGATACTTTACGTATTTCTATTTAACCAACACGTTTCACCTTTTTGGTGGCGTTGTATTATGTTCCTTTTTAACATTATTGATGAACTTGTTTAGTGCCAACAACAGAGAATTGCCTCACTTGCGGTATTTTTTAAAAAGACAGAACAAAGAAGATGCGAAATAAAGCATAAATAAGTGCTTATTATGTTTGTGCATAAGTCATTTGAATTGTGAATCTTCAAGGAGTAAAGCGTACTTATTCGTGAAAGATAACAAATATATCAGCTGAAGAAATGAATAATACAAAACCCCTTTGTGTATATATTGTATATACATCTTCTTTCTTCTGAAAACACTACTATGCCTTAATGTTTCGTATCAGCATGATATGAATATTGAATACAAAACATAAATGAAATTGGGTAAAATTATTTTTTTCTTTTTCCACAAGTTATGATGATTACAACCAAGTGCTTCAGACGAAATTTTATTACATTCTGAACACTTTTCCTTTATGCTTTATGCCCACTATTCTTTGATATTTCTGCAATAGCTGTCTGTATTTAAAGATAAACCAACCTGTCGTTTTCTCTAAAACTGCAACATGCACATAAGCTTTTTTTGTACATACTCCTTCTTTATCTTGTTCACTTTACCTTCTACATATTTCTTTTTTATTTATATACACATAGTATTCAACAATCAATTTGTGAGAAATATTTGAGCATATATTTCTTTTTATATTTTACAAGAAAATATACAGATAACTTATATCATAATATTGATTCAATTAGAAAAACCTTCAGGTTCTGCATTATTGTTCAACTCCTATAATTTCTTTATTCCGATGAAATTGACCCTTTCCCTCTTTCAGAACTCTAGACGTATCTGTTTTGATTTCTTTCATCTCAAGTTTCAAGTTTTGATTTTATTTATTCCTTATCCACGTCTTCCTTTGGATGTATTATCTTCGTAAACCATTTCCCAATGCTTATTACCTCAAACGTTATTGATCATTTATTAATTCTCTCTATTATCTTTTGAAATATTCTTTCTTGGCTCTTCTTTCTTTTACTTTATTACGTATTTATATTCTTGAAAGTTTTCAATGTCAACTATGTCCCCTTCTTTTACATTTAGTATTTCACCGTCTATATCCTTTCTTTTAATACTCGTATATTAATTTACAATGTCAATACCAAGTTATGTGGAAATTAAATTTGTAATGCTGATTCACCAATACTTTTCATTTCACCTCTATGCCGGAATATGATTTATTATCCTTCGTAGCAATTCTTCAACAAAGAAGAACAGCTCAGGACATGATATAGAGGCAGATTTATAAGAAACAATGGTGAACATTGGTTGCTTGTAGAAACGAAAAACCGTAGCTTACTTAGAAGACTTACGGGGAGGCGTAATGACAGGGAAAGGAACGGATAAGTAGACTGACATCCAGAATACTGCATTATTGGAACCTTTCAATTTTTTGGCCCTAAAATTTTTGTGAGCTATATTTTTAGTGATTTTGTTTCATTTTGAGTAACCTTGGAACGAATCACGACACAAACCATAAATTATTACTTTTTTATGTGATTTTTTCTAATTATTTGCTTTTATATCTTTTTATTCATCTTTGTTTCTGACGTTCATTAATTCTAACATTTTACTGTTTTTCTAAGTTTAGACTAATTTGTATTTTCTTTTTTCTTGTGAACGTTCCCGAGATTAACATTCTCTCATCTTTTCTATATTTCTCTATCTTTCATTTTCAATTTACTTATCTCTCGTTTATTATTTCCTGTTATCAATTTCCAATTTTCACCTTTTAAGTTATAATTTTTCTGAACTCTGCCTTTTTTCTTCGCCCTCTTTTCCGTTAAAGATGTATTGTCTTATATCTTCCCCCACCTGATCATTATTGTTTCTTTTTTCTTTCTATTTTCTTCTTATACTTTGATGACAGAAAATCTCACAATATATTACGGATTGCTCAACACAAAACTCAAAATAATTTCCTCAAAGACATATTGAATAAGAATCATAAGATACTCTAATTTCGTAATTTTTTCAAGTCTTTCTCCAGAAAACGTGCTTATTTTCATCTGTCTCCTCAATATCTTCCTTTTTCTAAGGTATTTCTTGAATATCTAAACATTCAAACACTCTCTTCACTTTCTTTTTTCTTATTTTGTATTTATTTAGACTTTCATATATTTCTTTTGTTATATTACAATGTCTTTATAACTTCATTTGTTTACTACTTCTCTCCGCTTTTCTATGATTTCATATTATATCTTCTTTCCTGTAACTTTACCTTCTCTTCATTTCTTTTTTCATCGTTTTCTGTTCAACTGTTAAATATCATATCACTATCTGAATCTGCAAATAGTTTTTTTTTTCGTACTGTCCTTTTCTAGCTCTATATTTTCAGCTTTGTTAATGTATTTCATTTGTCCATTTACTTTCTTCGGCTTTTGATTGCTTTACAGGATTTTTTCCCTTTTTCCAATGTTTTATATTCTTGTCAATTTCTCCTTACTTCAGTATTTTTCATTCTTTAATATTTTATTCCTCAATTTTGTACCCTCTTCCATCTACTACTTGAATATTCCTATTTCTTGCTGAACTCTTCTGTCTCCGTCTGTTGTCACTTTCTTCTCCTCGCTTAGATTTATGACTGTTATTTTTACATAAGATTTTCTGTTCCCTCTGCCACTTTTCTTCCAATTTTATCTATTCGGTTCTTTCACTTTCTTCCAACTTCTACCCTATTTTATTCTAGTTTCCAGTTTATATATATATACCCTTTGTGTTTTCTGGAACCCTACTTCTTTTCGTTCTCTTTCTTCTCCTTCTTTTCTTAACGCTTTGTTTCTTTTCCATTCTTTTTATGGTCTCTATCTTCTCCCTTTTCCCCCTTCTTTGTTAGGGCTTACTCTTAGGGCGTAAAAACTCTTACGATGTCTATTAGTTTTCTCACATTTTCTTATTATCTCTGATGCTGATTTTTTTCTGATGACTTTTGTTTTATTTTCTACTCTTTACCCTCCTCTTTTTGTGTAATTTGTTTTCTTCTTTCCTGTTTTATTTAGCTCCATTTTTTCACTTTCATTACGTTACCTTTTGATTCCATATTTGTCTAATTTCTCTTTATACTTAATATAACTTAACTCGTATTCATTTCTTTCTTTCTTTCTTCCTTCCTTTTTGTATCCTAATCTTTAGTCTTCCTTTGATTTATTATTCTTATTGTTTTCTGTTTTCTTTTATTCGGTGGTTCTTTTTAAACTACTCGGGTATATTCCTTTGATTTCTTTATTTTTTCGATTGTCTGCTCATTTATTTTCAGTATTATTCACCTCTTATTAATTTCTCCCCTTTGTCCATTTCCGTTTCCTTTGTTTCTCTTTTCTAGAGCAATCGTCAGCTATTTCTCTTTTTTATTTTTCCTTTCTCATTTAGTCTTAGCGGGTTTTCTCTCTTCTTCGATATTATGCTCTAAACTGCATTTTTCTTATCTTTTGTTCCTTCTTATCTTT